TCTATCACTTCCAGGCATCCTCCCTGGGGGTGTGCTGATAATGTTTAACAAATGGCTCTCCAAAAAATATATTCAACCCATCAAGTTTAATTTGAATTATTAACATTTTCTCCATCACTGTCTTTAATTTAGATAATAAAACAATAAATCAAGCCTTGATTTGTGGTAGTTGCTAATTTCTGAGGTGTAATTGCTCACAGTGAAAATTTGACAGTCAGCTTGTTGGAGCTATCTCTTGCACACATACCTGACTTATTGGCCATCTTACCACTTGCCTTGATCTTACACCCTGTGGACCAATGAACTTCCAGAAACCATGCCCCAGGGGCCTTGATCAACTCAGTTTTTGAACTCCCACTCTAGGACTGGGCTGTCCTGATAGGAAAGAGCAGACTCATGTAGGCGGATATATCTGGCTCGCCCTGACCCACCAGACCACGCTTCTAGCCACTGTGTACTGGCTGTGTCCTTTCCATCAGCTGTGCTGAAGCCAGTGTTGCTGCTCTCCTCCCACCCTACCCTCCCAACTTCTTATTCTAGGAATTGTAATTAAGTTAATACTACCATTGCTTCTGGGAAAGGGCTTATCAATCAACTTTCCTAAGGTCCACTCACTATTCCAGTGGCTTGCCAGACCAAGACACCCTTTCCTGGTTACCAATCCCTTGTGTATTTTGTCTCATACTATTAGAATGTCAGCCCAATGGCAGAAGCTTTCTCACTTATATGTTTGTATCTCCCTGGGCACATAGTAAGCCCTCAATAAATGCTTTTCATTTATGGCTTCTGGTTCTGTTCTCTGGGGACAAATGAATGACAGAATGGATGAAAAGCATTTATTAAGGGTCTGCTATGTCCCAGGCACTGTGCTCTGTGCTGCAGATGCAAATATAGGCAACCAAGGTGGTCTCTGCCTTTAGTGTGAGCATATATATACACACACACACACACACACATACACATACACCCATACACATACACACATATATATACACATACACATATATACATATATATACCCCATATCTATCTATATGCTCATATATATACACATATACCCCAATACATATATATATATATATATATATATACATATATCATATATACGTAGATGTTTGTTGTCAGTTGATTTCAGTCATGTCCAACTCTTTGTGACCCCACTTGGAGTTTTCTTGGCAGAGATACTGTAGTGGTTTGCCATTTCCTTCCCCAGCTCATTTTACAGATAAGGAAACTGAGGCAAACAGGGTGAAGTGACCTGCCCAGGGTCATGCAGCTAGTAAGTGTCTGAGGCTGGATTTGAACTCAGGAAGATGAGTCTTTGTGACTTCAGGCCCAGCACTTCATCCATTGTGCCACCTAGCTACCTGTATATATCTAGATACATGTATATTTATATGAATGATGGCTGGAGAGAAGTGTTTTGGACGTGGAAATAAAAAAAAGAGTGATGATGGGAATTATAGGCTAATGACTGACATGTCCCTGACAGGATCCTTGACTTTATTACTGATACTGTTCTCAGAACTAGAGTTGGACAAAGGAGAGATTGGAAAAATGTACTCATGGTTGCATGATGGGGAGATGACCAGGCAGTAAAACATATCTAATCCTTCTACATAACAGTCTTTCAAACACTCAAAGATAGCTGTACTGGTGTCTCATTTATGTACATATGTGTATTTGTTTAGTCATTCATTCATTTATTTCCTTCTAGCTTATTTTTTTCTAATTAATAACCATTTATTTTTTCTACCTCCTACTTCTCCCCACAATTAAACACTTAAAAAGAAAAAAAGAGAAATCCCCTATAACAAATATGTATAGTCGAACAAAATAGATTCCCACATTGGCCGTGTCCAGAAATGTTGCCTTCTGCAATTTAGTCATCTCCATGGCAGGAGTGAGTGAGTGAGTGAGTGGGTGGGGTCATATGCTTCATCCTGGGTCCTTTGGAATTACAGTTTGCCATTGCATTGGGCATAGTTTTAAAGTCTTTCAAAGTTGTTTTCCTTTACAGTGTTGTCTTTGTGTACATTGTTCTCCTAGTCCTGCATGTTTCACAGAGGTCTTCCCAGTTTTCTGTGAAATTCCATTTTATGGCACAATAATATTCCATTACTCAGATACCATCTTTTTCCTCAACTATTTTCCAATCGAGGAATGTCCTTTTCATTTCTCGAGCTGCTGCAAATATTTTTATGCATATTGTATTTTTCCTCTTTCTTTGATGTATTAATGTTCCTACCACAGTCCTTGTCACAGAACACACTAGATCCCCTAAAGTTCCCAGTAATGGGAAATAGATTGGTGAGACACTGAGGAAGTTTCCACAAGTTGCCAGAGGCATGCAGGTTTTTAAGAGTTTTCCATTTCCTCCTTTTCTTTTCTTTTTTTCTTTTTTTTTTTGCCAGGCAATTGGGGTTAAGTGACTTGCGCAGAGTCACACAGTTAGTAAGTATCAAGTGATCAAGTGTCTGAGGCAGAATTTGAACTCAGGTCTTCCCATTGCCTCCTTTTCTATTGCCCCTGAGAGTCACTTTTTTTTTGAGAGTCACCCCCTTTCCGGGGGGCAGAGAGAGCGGAAAGACTGGGCACTGGGCACTGGGCACATAGACTGGAGCTCTCTGCCCCACATTTGGCTAAAGTAGACTTTTAGGATTGGGCCCCCTCTACTTCCAGTAGCTGCTGATGGCAGGAGGACTGAGACCAGCCTGACTGCAATGGTGAAACCATCAGGGAGGTGACTAAACATGAGGACCTTTTCCTTTGATCTTTGAACTTTGGGGGCCTAAATGCTCCTGATCAAGCCCTGACACAGGTACCCCAGAAAGAAAAGTTGGGAGTCAACAAGTTAATAAGCATTTATTAAGGGCCTACTGTGTGCCAGGCACTAGGCTAAGTCTTGGGGATACAAAGAAAGGTAAAAACAGTCTGTACTCTCAAGGAACTCACATCCTAATGGGGAAAACAACATGTAAATAAGTGGGAACATTCAAGATACATACAGAGTAGATTCAGGTAATCCAAAAGGGGACAGGCCACAGGTAAGGAAGAAAGGCATCCTGAGAAGGTGAGAATTGAGCTTGGCCTTGAAGGAAGCCAGAGAAACTTAAGAGCTAGAAGTGATGGGGCAAAGTATTTCAGAAACAGAGTCAGATGAAATGTGCAGTTCAAAGAACGACTAGTAGGCCAATGGCAATGGATCATCAAGTTTGTGAAGGGGAATCAAGTATGAAGAGTCTTGAAACAGTAGAAAGGATCTGGGAGACTGTTGGGTGGAGGTTCTCCATTTTCCTGGCATTGTTGTTATGTCTAATAAACCATATGGCCACAGGGAATTAAGTGACTTAATAAGTGTGTGTGTGTGTGTGTGTGTGTGTCTTTTATTGATAAGGGAAATTCCAAATGGGGAATGCAGACAGAGCCATGGATTATTCCTATAACTTTCCAATAATTCTGAGCTATATTTTATCATCCACTACTTTGACATTTGTGAGGCTCACACATGTGTACCCACAAGAGAGAAACTCAACCAGATGATATGCTTGGTGACTTGAATATAGTATCCCTGGGAAAGATGAATCCAATTTTACACTCTATCACTGGGTGATCAATAAAGTGATATTCTTGCCTATAGAAATAGGCTCAAGTGAACAAGTGGGTATGGGCTGCTATAGCTGCAACTGCTGCTTTCCAGGTGTTCCATGCAGCCCACACCTGTGACCCATGGCTACCATGTGTGCCACTCCCAGTTTTCTCTTTTCAGGGTTAATCATCCCTAGTTTCTCTAATCCTCAGCATCGTTTCTAGTCCTCTGACTGCACCAGACACCCTCTTCCCGACCAACTCCAGTTTGTCAATGTCCCTCTTAACATACAGCATCTGGAATGGAACACAGTACTTTACATGTCACCTGACCAGGGAATCAGTCACCTCTTTTACTTTGGATTCTGCTCCTCTGTGAATTCATCTCCAGTTTAAGTTAGCTATTTTCTACTGACAGGTCACACTGCTGACTAATGCTTATCTTTCTGTCCACTAAAAATCCTCAGGCCTTTTTTTGAAATGAAATGATACCTAGCTCTTCCATTCTGTATTTACATAGCTGATTCCGTTATTTCTTAGGTGATTATTCCTGGTTTTCTTTCCAGTTAGACAAGGAACAAATTGCACCTTTACATTCAGTCTTTAGATTCTTTGATTTTGCTTTTCTAATTCCCCCTTTTTTCCCCCCAAAGTCTAAGTCAACTGCCTGGGAGCACTGTCAGGTGTCCACCTCTCCGGACCAGACACCGAATCCTTACTAGCTAAGACTCTCTTGGTCTTCCTTTTAGAAAAGAAATCTCCCTGAACCAGTCTGTCTCCTTCCTGGTAATACAGTCTTCCTTGAGCTTGCTGTCCGGCTTTTAAGTCTTTCTATAATGACTGTTCCCTGTAGCTGTTAATGCAGCTTTCTCCCATTTTCTCATGCTTTCTGAACTCCCAGTTCGCTTAAAAGCTCTAAGACGCCTTTCATACCTGCTGCCTGGAGTCCCGTATCTAAGGGTTCTGCTCTTGTCATGACCATCATCTAGCCCATCTGTCAAACAGCTCTGGCTTAGGACAAACACCAGCATCTCTACAACCCAATTTACATTATGATTATTCATACCCCATCCATATGGGGTGCTCTTTAAATCCACCTAAATTTTGAGGGGGGAGTTGACACAGGACTTGTGTACATTTAGCTAAACAGCTTAGATCAGTTCTCCTATTTTCGGTATAAAAACCTAATTATTGCTTTGCTTTATGGTCCCTCATCACAGTAGGGGTGGGGCTGATGATAAGGTACCCCCAAGGCAAGAAAGAGAAGGCACCCTGACTGAGGTGGGGTGATTTTTCCAAAGGCAGCCGGGGAAGCCACGGTGACGCGGCCACTGGGATGTTTCCAGGGGCTCAGGCAACAGCTGCTCTCCTTTCCCCCTGCCCCTTACTCCACCAAAACGGGGCATGTCCCTATGTCCCCCGAGGGTGCCTTGCAGGCAGTGGGGGTGGGGAATCTCTATGGGCTGGTCTCGGATCACCTCTCTAAACATCCTTCCTCTCTCATCCCGGCAGAAAGTGTAACAGAGGAGACGGTGTTGAAAAGGGAAAGCAGCATAGAGCTGGCGCACCCTCCATCCTCCTCCCACTCTCCAGCTCAGGCCAGACCCCCGGGACCCCCATTTCTTATCCCCGCTGTCCCCACGAGGGTCGGTCTTTGGGGAAAGGGCCCCCGGCCAAGCCTGGGGAAAGGAAATGGGTGGAGCGAGTGTTTTGAAAACAGCTGGCCTGGGGCCAGGCGCTGGTGGGGCGCCTGGCGAGGCTCAGCCCCTTTCTTCGGCTGCTCTCTTCGTGCACCCCTTCCTTCTCCAGCGGGCATCCGACCTGGTCAGTTCCAAGGGCACAGAGCCACCCCTTACCCCGGATCTGGGAAGGGGCTGGGGCCTTTCGGAGAGGGTGGGGAGCGGGATGTGCGAAGCAGGCGGCTGTCCCCACCGCCCAAGGCCCCCGAGACGGCGGCGGAGCCTGTATCCCCGGCAGAAACTCCCCAACGCGGATTTGGTATGAACGCCCACATGCTTCTCCTCCCTTCTTCCCCCGCCCCCCCCTTCAGTCTCAGCTCGACACTGACACCTGCTGGCCTTGGCCGTACATTGCAGGAGGAGAAGCCTTCCTCCCAGCCCACGCGAGCAAGGGACTCGAGTCAGGGTGCCTCTGGATGCAAGACTGGTCAAGTCACTGCTGCGAAATCCCTGGGGCCTCCTCGGCAGCCAGATTAGGAAAGACCAGTGGCTGGCCCGAGGGAGTGGAGGGGGGGTGGTGGCTTCTGTGGCCACTCGAGGAGGAGGAGGAGGAGGAGGAGGAGGAAGAGGTGTTCAGGAGGGTGACACTGCCACCAGGGCCCCATTGTAGAATCTGGTCACTCTGGTAATTAAGCCAATTGTAGTGAGCATATTTAATGGGGATGAAGTTAGCCTGGTTTGTTGTTTTTTTTTGTAAATTTTTAAATTTTAAACTTAAATATAAAATGAGAAAAGGAGAAAAAAAAACCTGCCATGTACACAGCAGACCATAAGAGAGGATTCAATATAATACGATAAATTTACATTTCAAGAAAACCTATATAATAAATACTACACATTGTTTTCAAAGGTGTCCAACTTTTCTTTGCTTTCTTGTTGGTTTTCTTTTGTTTTCTGCTGTGTGCTTTTTACTTTATTTTTTCCCCCTGCTTCCTCCCGCCACCTTAAAGAAGGCTACAGTTAAGTGTGGATATATATACATATGCATAGACATCTATAAACATACATATATACACATATACACTCATACACATATATGTAAGACTGTACTATGCTTATTTTTTCTAAGCATCTATTTCTCTGAAGGTGGATAGCATCTTTCGTCATAGATCCAAGTCTTTCCATGTTTTTCTAAATCAACCAGCTCATCATTTCCTACACCACAGCAATATTCCAACCCAATCACATCCTATTTGAGAGGTTGTCTAGGAAATCCCCACATACACACACATACTTTTCTTCATTCCTTCTATTCTTGGCTACATAGGTTTTATTTATACAAGAAAATTTTAATTTAAAATAACCACAATTACTTTTTGCACTTCAACAATGCTCTCACCTCATAAAATAGTTTAAGGTCTTATACTGCTGAATCTACTTCCTTTACATCTTTTTTCCCTGGTTTCTTTGAAGTTCCTGACCTTTTGTTTTTCCAGATGAACTTTGTTATTATTTTTTTTAACTCAATAACGTAATTTTTTTAGTAGTTTAAATGGTGGACATTAAATAAATAGATTAGTTATGTAAAATTGCCGTTTAAAAAATTATATTGCTGTGCCTACTCGTGAACAATAAATATTACTTCTATTATTTGGATGTGTTTGTATAAAAATATTTTATGTTCATATAGTTCCAGTGTCTGTTTTGGCAGGTATATGATCAGATATTTTATACTATTTAGGTATTTTAAATGGTCTAAAACAATATTGAATAATATTGACACAGTGTAGTTTCTCTATTTTCACTTTTGATTAAATCTATTTTAACTTTAACTTTTTCTGAGGTCCTGATTACCATGCCTGTTTTTTTTTTACGTTCGAAATTCTACTCCTACTCTTTCTTTTATCTTTTGTATATATGTCTCATTTTTATGTTTCCAGAAAGCAACATATTGTTGAATTCAAATCTTTAACCTGCCATTCTTTTCCATTTTATGAGTAAATTCATCCCATTCACATTCTAAACTACAATTACTTGTGTATTTTTCTCCTTCTTATTTTTCCTCACTATCCCTCTTCACTCCTCTGCTTTACTGCTTTATTTCTACCGGCTACCTTGCCCTCCTATTCCTTAACCTACCCACCCCTCTAAGAGTCCCTTCTTTGTCCTCTCCCCCACCCAATCCCTTTGCCCTCTTATTTCTTAATTTAGAAGATGTTTATACCCATATACATATATATATATATATTTATTGTTCCCTCTTTAATCCATTCCCAGTGAGAGTAAGGTTCCAGCATTACCGGCCCTCCCCCTTTCCTTCTAGCTTCTTCTGTATCAGTTTTTCCTTTTATGCCTCATTTGTATGAGATAATTACTCCTTTTTATGTCTCCCTACACAGTTTTATTTTTTTAGAATCACCCCATCATATTTAGCTCAGCCTTTCTTTCAAATTACCCAAATAATGATGACAATCATTAGAGTACTGCTAATACTTTAATATATACAAGGTAAACAATTTGACCTTATTAAGTTTCTTATAATTGGTTTTTAATGTTTACCTTATATTTCTCCTAGATGTTACATGTCAGATTTTCCCTTGAGTTCTGGGGTTTTTGTCACAAAAACCTGAAAGTCTTTCAGTTTGTTAAATGTCCTTTTTTTTTTTTTCATTTAGGATGATACTTAACTTTCTAAGTTAGCCTGATAAAGATAAGACTAGGTTTAAATCCCATTTCTACCTCTAAATGGACAAGTCAAATTAGACAGTGTTCTATCTCTTAATAGTCAAGGCACAATGGTTAGAGGACTGGGTTTGGAGTCCAAAAGACCTGAGTTCAAATCCTGCCTCAGGACTTACTATGAACCAAGTGACCCTGGGTAGGTCACTTAAGCTGCTTGTGTCTTCATCAGTAAAAATGAGGGATTTAGTTTAACTCAATGACCTTTAAGCTCCTTCCAGCTACAGGGCATCAGAAAGCCTGCGATCTTATGACCCTTCCTGGATAATTCCTTTGTAAAATGAGGAGGTTAGCTAAGTGATCTCTAGGTCATTGGAAGGTGTCTTTAGGGGTAGTTAGGAATGATGGCTCCTCTCTTTAGGGTTTTTAGTTATCCTTCAAGGTCAGACACCATATTTTAGGTGGGAAATCAGTATATAACTGGGAAGGAGTGTCTAGCTACAGGGATGCTTCTAGGGACTTAGCAGACACTGAAACTGAGGAAGGGAGGGAGGAGAGAGAGAGGCAGACTAGAGGAGGAGAGTGAGTTAGGGATGAGTACCGGGGTTAAGAAAAGTACTAGACTGGAAAGCTAGGAAGGGTCAGATTGTGAAGAGTTTCAGATGCCAGAGGGTATGTGTGTGTGTGTGTGTGTGCGCCTGGCATTTGAAATATATATATATATACATATATACACACACATAGGTATATTATGCATATACACACATATACACATACGTGCATGTACATGGACACAGTATATGTAAACACATGCATGTACAACACATGTATATGTGTGTATATATGTTGTGTATATATAGGTATGTATAGATATGCATATTTATATACCATGCATATACATATATACATATACACACATATATTTTGCTGGTCCTAAAAATAATGGGAAGCCACTGTAGTTTATTGAGTTGTAAGGTAACAGTGTGAAACTTATGCTTTAAGAAAATCACTTTGGGGCAGCTTGGTGGGGCAGTGGATGGAGCACTAGACCTGGAGTAAGGAGGACCTGAGTTCAAATCTGACCTCAGACATTTGACACCTACTAGCTGTGTGATCCTGGGCAAGTCACTTAACCCTGATTGCCAAAGCAAAAAATGAAAACAAAATAAATAAAAAATAAATAAAATAAAGTAATAAAAATAATAAAAAATAAATAAAAATTTAAAAAAAAGCAAAAAATGTGAATACATACAGTTCAGTTGTGTGACCCTGGGCAAGTCACTTAACCCTGATTGCTTCACCAAAAAAAAATAATCACTTTGGCATCTGCGTAGAGAAGGGATGATTTTGGCTGTTTCAGGAAGACCCCAGTCAGTCTCCTGACTTCTGGGCCATCTCAACAGCTTCACCTAAAACCTTGCACGTTAATCAGTGCCCTCTCTACCCTAGTTCTGGAGCCATGGTTAGATGCATACTGCTATTATTTGTGGAACTATGGGTCCATCTAATCTCCTATGGACCCATTTACCCATCCTCGTAAATTTCAGGACTAAAGTGCCTCTCCCTGACCTTGATTCCCCTATGTGTTCTCTTCCCATTAGAATGTATATTCCTAGAAGGCTGGGATCTTCTTTGCATAAGCACTTTTTCATTCTCCTCCCCTACTCCAGACTTGCTTATATTTGTTGAAGGTACCACCGGCAACCTTCCAGTTACCCAGATTTGCAACCTTGGAGTCATCCTTAACTTTTCCCTCTCCCTCATCCCTCCATAGCCAGTTGGTTTCTGTCTTACCGGTTTACTCACAGACTTTCATCCTTTCATAACATTTTTTACAAAAGCCTCTTAACTAAATTCCTGGCTTCCAGTTTCTCCCATCTTTTCACACAGTTGCCAAAATAACCCCACTAAAACACAAGTCTGATCACATCACTCACCTGCTCAAGAATGTTGACTGGCTCCCTATTACCTCTAGGATAAAGTAGAAACGTCTCAGTTTGGCACTTAAAGTTTCTCACAACTTTTCCAGACTTCTTGCATGTTACTTTCACACATTCTGTGTTCCAGTCAAACTGGGCTGCTATTTGCTGTTTTCTGAACTTGGAACTTGATCTGCTGCCCCAGTGCCTCTGCATGGTGCCTTCTTCCCATGCCTGGAATGCGTTCTTTCCTCCTGTACACCTCTTAGAATTTCTGGTCTCCTTCCAGCCTCAGCTCATGTGCCACCTCCTATGGGAATCCTTTCCTGATCCATTTAGTCATTAGGGCTCTCTCTTCCTTCCTCAAATAATCATGTATATGCTTATCTGTTTACATTTATCCGTAATCTCTGTGAAAGGAGGGACAGATTTTGTTTTGTTTTTGTTTTTGTATCATGCATCATCTCTTCCAGAGCTGTGTATGTAGTAGGTGTTTTTAAAATAGATTCTTGTTAGATTGCCCTGGATAGGGGTGTAAGGAGAGGGCTGAGGACAAATCATAAAGAAGCCAATGCAGCTGGTGCATTGATATTCATAAGCCTCCCACGAGGAGGAGAGGCATCCTCCCACCAGGTCATTGCTACCTCTGGGCTTCCTGGAGATCTGCCTAGCAAAGGCTGCAGAAAAGCCCTGAGAAAACTTCTACTCTCTGCCCAGACTCATAAGAGGGACTGATGGGCATCAGAAAGCCAATAGAAGAATTTCTAATATAAAAATCTCTTCTCCAGTAAGAAAATCAACTTGAGAAATCAAGTAAAGATCACAAGGCTGCTTTATAAACATAGGTGATCAGAACAATGAAGGGACTTAGATATAGTCCTGCCCAAGGTGGGAGTCACCAAGGTGAGTAAGTAAAGACACTGTCTTTGCCTCAGCCCTTGCATCCTATTTTTCAGTGTTTCTGAGAACCCTATCTTTCAATGCTTCTGATTATATCAAAGTCTAAAATTTAACAATAACTATAATTTATATAATGATTTAAG